AATGTACAAATGCGCTTTACACAATTGATGTATGTATGGATTGTGATAAGAGTTGTATGAGCCCCCAATAAAATGATTAAAAAAAAAGAATTGCTGAAACAATTCCTGACCAAGAAAAATCAGGATACTGTATGGTACGGGTGGCGAGTTTGGCAGACTGACCAATGGAATATAGAACCCAGAAAAAGCAATACAATGTAGGAAGGCTAGCATTTTCAAAACTGTTCCTGGTGTGGAGCAATTATGCATTCATTCATAGGTAAAAGAAAAATAGACCTAACAATAACAAGGTAATTCAAAACGAATCACAAAGTTCAATGTAAAACTATAAATTGTTTAGAAGAAGGAAAAAAACACCTTCAAGATTTAAGGATAGACCAAGAGTTCTTAGACTTCACACTGAGAACACGCTTATGAGAAGAAAAAAAATCAGCAATTATTTTACATTTATATTCAGCAAAAATATTGTATATTTGTTCTTCAAAAGAAAACAAGGAGAGAATAAAAAGGCAAGCTACAAACTGTGAAAATATTTGCAAACCACATGCTATCTAAATATTGAAACAACTCTCAAAACTCAACAATAAACAAACAAATGATCCATTTCGAAATGGGCAAAGTAAATAAATAACCAGAAATATCACTGAAGTGAATATGCAGATGGGAAATGAGCACGTGCAAAGATAGCCAGTATCAAATTAAAGCCACAAGGAGACCACTACACACTATCAGATGGCTAAATTTAAAAAAATTTTTCACAACACCAAATGCTGGCAAGGATATAGAGAAACTGGATCAATCACCCATTGCTGGTGGGAATGAATGAAATATGGTGCAGCTACTTTGGAAAGCGGTTTCACAATTTCCTATAAAAGTACACATGCAACTTCCATATGATCCAGCCATTATAATCCTGGGCATTTATCCCTGATGATAAAGGAAGAGTTATGTTCACCCAAAAACCTGTGTGTCAGCCTGTTCATGGCAGCTTTACTTGTAATTGTGAAAAACTAAAATGATGCCCTTCAATGATTAATGGTAAAACAGAATATGGTACATGCATACCATGAAATACAATTCAGCCGTTAAAGAGAATAAATCTTTTATATGTCAAAACTTGCTTGGGATTTAAGGGAAGTATGATGAATTTTAAAAGACAATACCATACGGTTAAATATATTAAATTCCACTTATATTATTGAAAAACTTAAGAGAGAACCTATTGATCAGAGGGACTGAGAGTGGGCAGGAGGAGGAGAGAGAAGGCAGCATGAAGGGTCCTTGTGATTATGGGCCAGTTTAGTATCTTGACTGTGGCAGTGGATACACAACCCTGCACACAGAATAAAAGTGCACAGAATTAAATTTTTAAAAGAAAAAAAAAAGGTGAGTTTGTAGCTAAGTCAAATTCCTGGTTGGATATTTCACTTAAATTTTTAAGAACATTACCATTGGGAAAATTGGGGATATGGTACACAGGATGTTTCTATTATCTCTTCTAATGACATGTGAATCTACAAGTATCTCAAAATAAATAAGTTTAATTAAAAAATAAAATAAAAGTCGTTACAGTACCCCTGAAGCTTTTGTTAAGTTTTACAAGTCCAAGGTAAAGTACGGAAAAGAAGCACAAATCTTAGGTACCAGATAGGTTCACTTTAACACTCGATCTTGTGATTGAAAACGAAAAGCATTCGCAGATGTTTCAAATTAACGACTCTTCCAGTCCCGAAATGATTCACCTGTAACCTCAACGATCAGCTCTGGTTTTTGTTCACTGGCTATATATCTATTCTCAAGTGCTAGAACACGGTGCCTGGCATTTAGCTCTTTCTCCATAAATGTACACTGAATTATGACTGAATGAACAAATCAATCCCCAACGAACTGACTCCCTTTCCACCTACTCATAGCTGTCTCTTAATCCACCCAGCAGATACATATCTACCATGCAACCTACCTTTTTTGTTTTTCGGAACCTTTTCTTTCTGACATTCTTAAGAGGTGGAGTAACTACAACAAATACAACATGGTAAGACATATACATGACTGATGGCAACAACAGATTTACTGGAATTTTATAAAAGAGAAAGTTCATGCTAGAAAGCGACCAGCTCCAGACATGACTCTTTCCTGTAAGAGTATCCGGGACCCTAAAGAGCCAAGTGTTGTAGTGTGGTAGCTGGAGCCAGGTTCACAAAAGCCTTGGGATTCAGCAGATAACCAGGGTCAGTCAGAACGATCCAGGGATTGATAACTTACTGCCGTGTTTCCAGATGTATTTCTTCCGTTTGTTCTTCTCCTTTATCTTTATACCTTTCAGACCAGTAGAAGTAGTTGGTTTTTCTACAGAAGCAGAGGACTCTTCAGCTGCAGCTGCAGCTGGAGCTGCAGCTGGAGCAACAGTAGCTGGAGCAACGGCAGCGGCAGCGGCAGCGGCAGCAGATGTGGTGGCAGTGCACACGAGCATCTACATTTTATAAAAGCCAAGAAGCTGACAATGAACCCAAGTGCTGGGTTAATAATGAATCATGTTCATGCCTACCACCAAAAACTCCAGGGCAAAGTAGTGGAGAGGATGATATTTGATATCTCCAGGAAACCAAGTACACACACCACCACCACCAGCCCTCCCTAACTCTTTCGCCCTTCCGCCTCTTCCACTATTTTTTGAGCCAGCACTGTGTAAGATATATGAACTTAGAATGTTTATTTTCATTTTACTTCAGAGTGCTTAGCACTGTAGAGGGGCTATGTTGAGAACTTGTATCTTGGCATTTTGATTTGGAGGAAACAAGAAACCACAGCAGAGGTGATAAGAACCAACTTAAACCTACAAAGTTAACAACATGCTGTCTGGGTAGAAAATTTATAAGAAGATCCCAGCTGGTCTTATTTTTCAATTCATGAAAGTCACTATGTATGGCAAACAGGGGACTCCTACAAGCTATTTGCATACAATAAAGTAGTGAAAAGTTAAGGTTCAAACACCAAACCAGAGCATGCCATTTTATTCCTGTGCAATCAAGCAGGGCATTAGCAATGGCAAGCAGCCACTTACTGAATGGAAAGACGCACTGAAGGAAAGAGAATGGGAGAGAGAAAGAAACCGTGGAGGGGGTGAATGCTAGATTAAGAAAATGAATCCATACCTGAGAAATATCTGCTGTCTTATAAAAGGTTTTGCGATCAAGAGTTTTCAGGCTTCCAACAACGCAGGGCAAATCAACCAGCTTAGCGGCCAATGTGACATCTTCAACTTGAACAATGGCCTGGTGTTTATCAGCTGAGGAGACCGAGAGAAGATTAAAGTCCTGTTAAGGTCCCTAGGAACTCAAACCTCCAGTGGTTGGAATAATGAAGACTAGCCCTTTAGCGAAACCTTATTCTTTTTCATCATGTTAGCATGGTATGCACAATAAATGACTAGAGGAAAGAAGGCAGCGTATATGGAGCTCTTTTTTCCTACTTTGTCACTCTTTCAAAAGTACAGGTAGTCCTCAGGTGACAAGAGGTCTGTTTCTAAGTCTGTCTTTTAGTCTCATTTATACTTAAATCAGAACAGTTAGGTACAGTTTGTATCTAACCTCAGTTAGTCAAATGTTTTTCTTAGTGTATAACGTATAGTATATCTTTTTATGAGTAAGAAACATTAAAAAGAAATGCATCCAGGTACATTAAAACATCTTTAACTTAAAAGCACAGTAATAATAATCACAATGTTTTGATGTACATTGCAAAGCACAGCCCATTTGTTAATATGAGGAACTTGATTTGTACTATAGTTTGTAATCCTAGGACATCCTGTAGCTCTTTCTTGTAAATAGCTTTAGAACTTGTGCATGGTTATAAATATAGATGAAGCAGTAGATGTTTCATTCGTAACACAGGAAAGTCCCATTCATGCCAACCCATGCGTTTTGTTTGTTTAAATCATTTTATTGGGGGCTCATACAACTCTTATCACAATCCATATGTACATTCATTGTGTCAAGCACATTTGTACATTTGTTGCCATCATCATTCTCAAAACATTTTCTTTCTAATTTAGCCCTTGGTATCAGCTCCTCATTTTCCCCCTCCCTCCCTCAGACTCGATAATTTATAAATTATTACTATTTTGTCATGTATTACACTTTCTGATGTCTCCCTTCACCCACTTTTCTATTGTCCGTCCCCCAGGGGGACGACATATGTTATATGTAGATCATTGTGATCGGTTCCCCCTTTCTATCCCACCTTCCCCTTATGCTCCTGGTATCACTACTCTCATTATTGGTCCTGAAGGGTTTATCTGTCCTGGATTCCCTGTGTCTCCAGTTCTTATCTGTACCAGTGTACATCCTCTGGTCTAGCCGGACTTGTCAGGTAGAATTGGGATCATGATAGTGTGGGAGAGGAAGCATTAAAGAAGTAGAGAAAAGTTGTATGTTTCATCAGTGCTATACTGTACCCTGACTGGCTCGTCTCCTTCCCACCCACGAACCTTCTGTAAGGGGATGTCCAGCTGCCTACAGATGGGCTTTGGGTCTCCACTCTGTACTCCCCCTCATTCACAATGATATGATATTTTGTTCTTTGATGCCTGGTACCTGATCTCATCGACACCTCATGATCACACCGGCTGGTGCGCTTCTTCCATGTGGGCTTTGTTGCTTCTCAGCTAGATGGCTGCTTGTTTCTTTTCAAGCCTTTAAGGCCCCAGACACTATATCTTTTGATAGTTGGGCACCACCAGTTTTCTTCACCACATTTGTTTATGCACCCACTTTGTCTTCAGCGATTGTGTCGGGAAGGTGAGCATCATGGAATGCCAATTTAATGGAACAAAGTGTTTCCTGCATTGAGGGAGTAGCTGAGTACAGGCCCAATGTCCTTCTGCTACCTTAAAGCTAAATTTATAAATATATGCACATAGATTTATTTCCCTATCATCATATATGAACATGTTTATATATGTACACGCCTGTATTTAGACCTCTCTATAAACCCTTTGCCTCCTAGTAACCCATGCATTTTTAACACCATTAGAACCCTCCCATCCATGTCATTGTAAACTTGTGCACAAATGGTTTAGTGAGAGAAGAAGGACTGACCGTAGAATGATGAAAGTGCATCTCAAGTTATAACCTCGAACACCACAAAGGTATAATTCTATATAGTTGCTATATCCTAAATTCCCGATTCTTCCCAAGCATCTCAAACATGAATGTCGACTCTCAAAAGGACTGGTGCGCGTGGTGGGTTATACATTTGGGTTGCTAACTCCAAGAGGACTTGGATATAACCTTCTAATATTACGAGAGGGAGATGCATAATCATGCCTGACAGGATCTTTTTTGTACAAATTCACTTAAAAATACACAGTGAGAAATTATTTAAATGATGGTACTATGTATAAAAGTTTTGTGTGTATGTTTTTTGCCTCTAAGGAAACACAAGGGAAAATGGTTGATATTATTAATTTTGACATTGATATTGGGGCCCAGTGAGGAAGGAAAAACTCACTTCTTTTGAATCTTTCTGCTGTACTTATTTGCTAACCATGAAGTTGGATTATCTTTCTTTTTCTAGGTGGTATCTGAGTGGTGGGATTATAATTTGGTTTTGTTTCTTCTTTACATGTTTCTAAACTTACTACAACTTAAAAGAAAGAAAATTCATCTGTGTAAACCAAAACAACATTGATTTGTTGTTATTTTGGCCAGTCAGAAATCGCAAGGCTTAAAGATAATTCTATTTTTCCATGAACATTTAGAAGCCCTCCTATAGGAGTAGAAAACAAGCAATATGATTATTCTGCAGTTGACCACCCAAGCCCTTTGTTATATATAATGTCCGGCCCAATGTAGTACCTTAATATTGTTCATTGTATAGTGAATTCATATTTAACTACTTACGGTATAAGTTGATCTTTAGTTTATCCTTTGCGTCAGTACATCCAGAATGTATTATCTTCCTGACTGTAGAAACATGTTCCTAAAAAGATCAATAAACGAAGTCCAAATGATGAATTGCCTACCTGGCAGCTAATAGATGTCTGAGAAATCCCTCCCTTAATTTAAACCTTCAACCCTCCATACTTTACTAAAGATGCCATGTACCATAAGATACATTACATTGTGTATGTCAAGTGAGGATCAGGTGAAAGACTACTGTCTTTCTGTAGCTACACTTAATGGCTTCTTCAACTCTACATGCCTGCCTCTCACTGCTCTGCACTTCAGTTATAATTAGTAAAGAAAGTGTAGTTGCAGTGTACTGAATATGAAAGGGTACCCCCCCAAAAAAAACGGACCCCCCCCCAAAAGCTATTTAAATTTTTTTACAAAACAACCTTATCGCCTTCAATGTACTCACGTCACACTCAATACATTTATCAAATTTGTGATTCCATTCTTGGAAGCATTTTTCTTTCTTCTTTCTTTTTTTTCCTGGCTTGGGGTCTGGATACTTTTGATTTTTACCTTTTATTGTGATTTAGGGGAAAGCTTACAAGGCAAACTGGTTTTGCATTCAACAATTTATACACATTTTGATTCATGCCAGCGGCTGCAATCCCCACAACATCACAGCACTCTTCCAACTTCCCCAGTGTTGGCCATTTTTGCCCTGCCTTCGGAGCTTTCTCAAGGCAAAGGCTATGCTTTGATCTTCTATAATTGGTTGATCTAGGAAGTGCATACATCCTTAATGTTATTCTTCACCTTTTAGGCCTTCTATTTTTCCGAGTGACAGGGATAGCTTAAAAGGGGGTCACTAAGGCCCAGTCTTGGTATTCTACCAGTCTAACAGTCCAGTAAGCCTGTTTTTTTTCTGTTTGGCTAGGTTTTTAAAAAAATCATTTTATTGTGGGCTTGTACAATTCTTATCACAATCCAAACATACATCCATTGTGTCAAGCACATATGTATATTTGTTGCTATCATCATTCTCAAAATATTTGCCTTCTACTTGAGCCCTTAATATCGGCTCCTCATTCTCCCCCCTCCCCCCTCTCCCACGAACCCTTCATAATTCAAAAATTACTATTATTTTATCACAAGTTACACTGTCCAACGTCTCCCCCCCGCCCTCTTCTCTGCTGTCCATCCCCCAGGGAGGAGGCTATATGTAGATTCTTGTCATCGGTTCCCCCTTTCCACCCCACGTTCCCTCCACCCTCCAGGCATCACCACTCTCACCACTGGTCCTGAAAGGGTCATCTGTCCTGGATTCCCTGTTTCCAGTTGCTATCTGTACCAATGTACATCCTCTGGTCTAGCCAGATTTGTAAGGTAGAATTGGGATCATGATAGTGAGGGGGGGAGGAAGCATTTAAGAACTAGAGGAAAGTTTTATGTTTCATCGTTGCTACCCTGCACCCTGACTGGCTCATCTCCTCCCCACAACCCTTCAGTAAGGGGGTGTCCAGTTGCCTACCGATGGGCTTTGAGTCTCCACTCTGAACTCACCCTCATTTACAATGATATGTTTTTTTGGTTCTTTGATGCTTGATACCTGATCCCTTCGACAGCTCGTGGTTACACAGGCTGGTGTGCTTCTTCTTGGAAGCGTTTTTCAAATGTATCTGTTTGGATGACTGGCAGATCCCTTGTTTTATAATTCACCCCTTCTACGCCATCATGTCCCTCTTCATTCGCAGAAAAAAAAGAAGTCACACGGAGCGAGGTCAGGTGAGTCAGATGTGAGGGACAAGAGAGGCATGCTGCTTTTTTTGCCAAAAACTGGCACAGTGAGATGGCTGCATGAGCAGGTGCATTGTTGTGGTGGCAAAGCCAGCCCCTGATTTGCCAAAAATCAGGACTTATTTGTCACACACTATAATGCAATCTTTTCATAACCTCTAAATAGAAAGCTTTATCAAGAGTCTGACCTGGTGGAACAAACTCCAAATGCACTACAAGTCAGCATTTTTATCCATTCGGGAAATTGACGGATGTCCAAAACAAGGTTTGTCATCAATCAACATTTCACCTTTTGTGAAATGAGAAAACCACTTGTACACTTGAGTTTTTCCCATAGTGCTGTCCTTGTAAGCTGTGTTCAACATCACAACAGTTTCTGCGGCATTTTTCCTGAGCAGGAAACAAAATTTCACAGCCGCAAACTGTTCTCTTAATAGACCATCACAAAAAAACGAGGTTCAAGCAAAACTGCTCTTATGAAAAAATTCACTGTGACCAGTGAGAACATTCCCAGGCAATGCCACTGGGTGCACTAACTCAGAGAAAGTTGCTCAATGCTCGCCTAGCAGGAAAAAATACATACTATAAAAGCACTGCTCAGCCCAGCACAATTCCGGGTTTTGGGGGGGGGGGTATCCCCTCATATATTAATTAATTCTAAATAGGGAAGTAAAATATTTAATCTCATCCCTAATACAGTTTTCTTAGACTCTGTAATGCCTATATAACAGGAATCGGTGGGAGGAGGGGGTGGTGGTAGCAGCAGGGGGAGACCCTAACAAAAATCTTGAGATGTTCTTCAACAAAGCAGTTGCACTGATGAATTTTCAGGAGACACGCTGAGGGTCTTTCTCAGAAACCCTTTTGAGGTGACAAAAAGGATTTGAGAAGAGCCTTGTCTTCACTGTCCAGTGATAAGTGACTAGATATATCTTCATCACTTTTGTTTGTCAGTAAGTCTACCCACCTGCTAGCTAGCATGTAAAGGGTGAAAGAGGATGCTACAGCTAAAGGTGGACACACTATGATAGGACTGCTTAACAGAACATGGCCTGAGGAAACAAATGTTCTTGAGCTTTATAGTCTACCTTCCATAGAATAGAAAGAAATATAAGAGAATCCAAGCAGAACTAATGCTATTTACGCACTAGAGATATCTTGTCTAAGGTTCAAGGGTTTCTTACCGGAGGCAGCCGCAAAATAAACTGGTTCTCGAGTTCGTGCGATGGTTCAGTCTGGCTCTTATGCATCTCTTGTTTTTTGAGTTTATGAAAACAAAAACAAAAGCAATTGAAAGTCATTAAAAATGTCTCTTGCTCCCTCTGATGATTGCTGCTGATCAAGCACAAACCCATTCACAAGATTTTAAGACCTTAGTTGTTACTCACCAAAGTAAGATGTACAACACTGTCTTTATGGAGCCTGTTATGCCCGTTGACCTTAGTGGCCCCCAAGACCATTGTCCTCATTCCCAGGCTCAGTGACCCCTTCCCTCAAGGTGTTTGGCAATAGCCAAGGCAGTTTACATACCTGTGCCTTGTTTGCTCTACTGTATCTATGGCTATATATACAGCATATACAGACACATATGTAGAAATATCGTCTGTCAATCCCATATGAGTGGTGGTCCCTTTTGCCTACTCACACCTGTTCATCTTGCCTGTTTGCCTATGTATCCACCTGTTTGTTATTATTGCTCATGCAGGATTATATATGTGAGTATGTACCTCGCTAAGTCTTCTTTTCTTTAGTAATATTGTGCTGATCAACCCTTCATTTTATGTTGACCAAAGTACGATATCTATTATCTAGCTAATGATTTTCTCTCCCCTCCCATTCCTGACATCAACAAGTGTTTTGTTTTGTTTTTTACCTCTGTGTGTAAATCTATTCTTGACCATACATTTTTTGTCCTTTGGGGATTGACTTTTTTCATGTAGCATAAGGTCCTCCAGTTTCATCCACATCATGGGGTATTTCTCAGATTCTTTGTTATTCTTTAACGTGACATGTGCATTGTGTGTACACACTATAGATTGTTAACCTTTCATCCACTGGTGGGCACTTGGGTTGTTTCTAGATCTTTGCTACTGTGAATAAGGCTGCAATGAACATGAGTATGAATATATCTGTCCTAGCTTTTTTCTTCTTCTTTAGGCTACATACCTAGTAATGGATTTTTCTGGATCATATGGCATTTGTTTTTTTAAAAATCATTTTATTGGGGGCTCATGCAACTCTTATCACAATCCAAACATCCATCCATTGTGTCAAGCACATTTGTGGCCATCATCATTCTGAAAACATTTGCTTTCTACTTTAGCCCTTGGTATCAGCTCCTCATTTTCCCCTCCCTTCCAACCCTCCCTCCCTTATGAACTCTTGATAATTTATAAATTATTATTTTGTCATGTCCAATGAGCAAATGGTATTTATATTTCCAACTTTCAGCCCCAACAATAGGCAGACATGTGGAGTTAACCATAACCCCAGGGAGGTACGCACTCTTTAGAACACAAGCCCCAAAGGATAGCATTTGTTCAGGGATAAATATCAGGAGGCAGAGAGGGATAGGAAAAGAGGAGGAAGTGGAAACAGCAATAATGGGAGGAAAGCGAGAACTACAATCAGTGCCATGAAATACAATGTGTATGAATCACTGAGAGCTCTGCAAATTTTCACTCAAATCACACTGAAAAGTTGTTTTTTTTTAATCAAACCTGTTACCCACTCACAGCAGCCCGCTAGAGCATAGAATTTCCCCCATAGGGTTTCCAAAGCTGTCAATCTTTATGCAAGCAGATGGCCATATCGCAACCGGTAGGCTCAAACTGCAAACCTTTGGTTAGCAGCGGAGTGCTTAAACAGGGCACCACCAGGGATTCTGGTAGTACCCTGTTTCCCCTAAAGTGAGACATCCTCCGAAAATAAGACCTACTTACAGTTTTGCCTCTCGCTGAACTATAAGGCAACCCCTGAAAATAAGACCTCCCCGAAAACAAGGCCCCCCCCAAAGCTACTGTAACTCTGGACTCTGGACCACAGCAGGCGGGCACCGCTGCGCAGCTCACTTGGCCACAGTGCAGCCGGAGCAGACATGAAGTGCAAGGTCTCTTTTAATAAAACAATAAACAATAAATGTGTACTGTATTCTTCATGGAAAAATAAGTTATCCCCTGAAATTAAGTCCTAGCACATCTTTGGGAGCAAA